GCAATGAGACGATATATGATAGAATGAATGTAAAACTAATGTTCTCCTATGTAAACTATCACATAATTCACAATAAAACATTTAAGAAAAAAAAAAGAAATATAATTCCCAAATGAGTCATTAGACCTGGGGGATGAGACCATCTTCTTGGGGGACACCAAGGCCAACTGACATAACAAAGTCAACAATGCCCTACATCCTATGTTGGTGAATAGCAACTGGGATCTTACAAGGTTGTGAGCAACAATCTAATAGCCAACTCTTGGTCTCTCCCAATCCTAAGCAAAGAGGAATGAAGGAAATAAAAGACTCAGGGAAACAATTAGTCCAAAGGACTAATCAACCCACGTAAACTTCAGTCTTTACAACTCTGAGACCAGAAGAACTAAATGGTGGCCAGCTACCACTACCAACTCTTCTGATTGGATACAGTAGGTGAAAATGTGGAACAAAACTCAAAATCATGAAAAAGAACAGACTTACTGATCTGATAGAGACTGAGAGAACCTCAAGACTATGACCCCTAGACACCCTTTAGGCCTAGAACTGATCTCATCCTCATATATCAACTTTCAGTCAAACAATAGAGAGGACTAGAGAGTGAACACCAGGAAGAACAGGCTCCTTAGAAAAATCAACCACACAAGACCAGAGAGCAGCATGTGCCCAGGGACAAAGCTCAGGAGGCAGCAATAGCAGAAAAGGACAAATGGAAACAGGAATTACAGGGAAGAAGTCAGAAGAGTGTTATTACATTGTGTGGGGATGGGAAATCAATCTCACAAAACAAGATATATAGGAATTTCTGAATTGAAAACTACTTTGCTCTGTAAACTTTCACCCAAATGTCAAAAAAAGCTTATATACAAGGGTGAGTAGAAAATTACTGGTTCTCTGGCTGTAGGATTAATTTTAATCATCTTTTTAAAAAGACAAATACATCATTTTTTTAAACATAATCTTGCTTCCCAATGCACTTGTCCATCTGTCCACAAGCTTTCATATTCCTTTACTAGAAACTGTTTTAGGTTAAGTTGTGAGCCATGAATGTAACAGTGCCTTAACTTCTTCATCAGAGGTGAATCTTTGTCCTTGAAGGGCTACTTTCAGGGGACCAAACAGGCGAAAGTCTGATGGAGCAAGATCAAGATCAGGTCTAAGGGAGGATACTTTAAAACCTCAAATGAATGTTTTTATCAGGAATGGGTGTTGGATTTTGTCAAATGCCTTTTCTGCATCAATCGATATGATCATGTGGTTCTTTTCTTTTTTCTTATTTATATGGTGGATAAC